GTATATTCACAGAGTTGGGCAGCCATTACCACTATCTAATTTCAGTCCATTTTTGTTACTGCAAAAAAGAACCCTGTACCTATTAGCAGTCAATCCTCATTCCAGCCTCCTATCCGCTGACCCAGGCAGCCATTACTCTACTTTTCTTTCTCTATAGATTTACTTACTCATGTAAATGGAATAATAAAATAGGTGTCCTTGTGCGTCTGGCTTCTTTCACTTAGCATGTTTTCAAGGTTCATCCATGTTGTAGCATGGATCAGTACTTCTTTCTTTTCTTTTATTGCCAGATAATAATACATTGAATGGATTTACCACATTTTCTTAATCCATTCGTCATCTGATGGACATTTTGGTTGTTTCCACTTTTTGACTGTTGTGAATAATGCTTCAAGTTTTTGTGTGAGCTTGTGTTTGCATATCTCTTGGGTAGTAGATACCTAGGAGTAGGATTTCTGGGTCACATGGTAACTTTACATTTAACCTTTTCTTAAATTTTTTGTTTTATTGTGGTAAAAATCACATAACATAAAATTCACCGCCTTAATCATTTTGAAGTATACAGTTCAGTAGTCTTAAATATATTCACATTGTTGTGAAGCCAATCTCCAGAACTCTTTGCAGGTTGCAAAATTGAAACCCCATAGCCACTGGACAACAATTTCCCATTTCCCCCTCTTCCTAGCCCCTGTCAACCACCATTCTGCCTTCTGTTTCTATGAGTTTGACTACTCTAGATACCTCATATAATTGGAATCATATAGTATTTGTCTCTTTGTGTCTGGCTTCTTTCACTCAGCATATTGTTTTCAAGGGTCATCATGTAGCATGTGTCAGAATTTCCTTTCTAAGGCTGAACAATATTCCATTGTATGTATATAACACATTTTGTCTAGCCATTCATCTGTGGATGGACAGTTGGGTTGTTTCCACCTTATATTACACTTCTGAGGAACTGCGAAGCTATTCTCCAAAGCAGCTGCACAATTTTATATTCCCCCCAGCAATGTATAAGGTTCCGATTTCTCCACATTCTTGCTCACACTTGTTATTGTCTGTCTCTATTTATCATAGCCATCCTAGTGGGTTTTAAGTGGTATCTTATTATGGTTTTGATTCGCATTTCCCCAATGACTAAGGATATTGAATATCTTTTCATGTAATTGTTGGCCATTTGTGTATCTTCCTTGGAGAAATGTCTACTTAAATGCCATTTTTTAGGTTGGGTTATTTGTTGTCTTATTACTGAGTTGTAAGAATTCTTTATATAATCCAAACACAAGTCCCTTGTCAGCTATATGATTTCCAAATATTTTCTCCCATTCTGTGGGTCGTCCTTTAACTTTCTTGGTGCTGTCCTTTAAATCAAAAACGTTTTAAATTTTGATGAAGTCCAACTTATGTATGTTTTTCTTTTATCCCATCTGTGCCATTTCCCCTAAACTTTTTTTTCTTTTTTTTTTTTTTTTGTCTTTTTGTCTTTTTCCGTGTCCGGCAATGGATCGCAACCCTCAGTGTTGCCCCCGTACCGGACCGGGGACCGGCAATGGGATCGCAACCCTCGGTGCTGCTCCCGCGCCTTGCTCAGCCAGTGAGCGGGAACCGGTCTGTATGTGGGATCCGAACCCTCGGGCGGGAGCGCCGCCGTGCCTCCCAAGCGGCGCACTATCCAGTGCGCCACCGGGCCGGCCCCTCCCCTAAACTTTTCTTAGTTTCTTATTTACAATGTTTCTTTATGTCAGGTGCCAGCATGCTATAACCCACAGACCAGCTGCCTTTATTTTTTAGATAAAGTGTTATTGAAACACATCTATATCCATTTATCTATGGCCGTTTTCAGGCTACAATGGCAGGGATTGTGTGGCTGGCAAAGCTGAAAATATTTACTATTTGACCCTTTACAGAAAAAGTTTGCCTACTTCTGCTTTATGTAATTAAGAGGACATGTGAATATACATTTTTATTCTCTCTTTCTTATTCAAAAGATACCAGACCAAATATACTGTTTTGCACCTTCCTTTTTTCTTTTTTTCTTTTTTTTTTTTCCTTTTTGTCTTTTTTCGTGACCGGCAATGGATCGCAACCCTCAGTGTCGCACCCGTACCGGACCGGGACCGGCAATGGGATCGCAACCCTCAGTGTTGCACCCGCACCTCGCTCAGCCAGTGAGCCGCCGGTCTGTATGTGGGATCTGAACCCTCGGCGGGAGCGCCGCTGCGCTCCCAAGCGGCGCACTGTAGCAGTGCACCACCGGGCCGGCCCCTTCCTTTTTTCCATTAACAGTTTTGCCTGGACATATTTCCTAATCAGTATATGGGAATCTTCCTTATTTTTTATAGATGGATAGTACTTCATGGGGTGGATGTACCATTGTTTATTTTATCAATCCCTTTTTTAGGGATACTGGGTTTCTTTCTTTCTTTTTTTTTTTTTGGCTATTGCCAAGTTCTGTTTCAGTTGCAGTGTCAGTTCTGATTTCAGAGCCCTTCAGTGCTGTTCACATCTGTCTCACGTATGTACCACTCAGTGGCCAGTCTGGGCTGTTCTCAAAACCTTAGGTTGCTATTTTGGGCCAGACTCATGCTTTTATAGCTTGGGGTCGTGGAGCCCAGGAGTTTATAAACAATTTCAGGGGGTTGTTTTACAAAGTTCCTCCCTCTCTACAATCTCCTTTGTACTTTCTGGTTTTCCTGGGGCTCCCCTTTTCAGTCCTATGGTCAGAAAGCTGGAGCTTTAGTTATCCCACTTTGCCTCACTCTTCCCACAACTGGGCCCACGTCTGAGGCCAGGAGTTGAAGGAGAGTAAAAAGCAGTGGAGGTTTACCCCACCCTCTTAGGACCACAGCTCCTCCAGTTAGAGAAGGAGGTTCCCCTCTCTGAGTTCCAAGCACCTGTGGGCCCCTGCTGCCACCAACTGTATCTGCTTTTATTGCTGTGGGATTGCAGGGGTCCTGGGGTACAGAGAAAAGGAAAAAAGTAGGGAATTTCCCTTACTTTTCTGAGCATTAAGAGGTCCTTTTCCTGCTCTTTAGAGGGCTTCTCCTGGTAACCTCTGTGTCCATACCTAACGCCCTCTCTGGGTTTTAGGCTGCCTTAGTCCAGGCTGGGGATACAAGGGAAAAATGGGACACTTGCTGCTGGCTTGGTGGTACTTTGAAATCTGATCTTCTTTCCCAGTCTGCTCGCTATGATTTACTTTTCACATTCCTGAAATAGCTGTTCCAACCATTCTGTCTAGATTTTATAGCCACATCCAAGGAGAGACAGAGTGGAATGCATTTACCCCATCTTGGAACCAGAACTCAAACTTGTGCCATTAAATTTTGAGGTGTCTTGTCATACAGAATATAGTAAAATATCTCTGCATCTTATTGTTTTTTTTTTTTTTTGACCGGTAAGGGGATCGCTACCCTCGGCTTGGTGTCATCCACACGGTGCTCAGCCAGTGAGCGCACCAGCCATCCCTGTATAGGATCTGAACCCACGGCCTCGGCGCTAACAGCACTGCACTCACCCGAGTGAGCCACGGGGCCGGCCCTGCATCTTATTATTAAAGCTTACTAATACACCAAAATATCCTGAATCCAGCCACATTGTATCAGACCAGTAATATCCATGCAAGATCCCCCGTATGACCATTAAGGTTGAACGCAAAAGAGTAGAATAAATCGAATAAAAGGAGATGGAAATTGCTGATATCATGAAGGTGCTTAATTGGCCTCCAATGTAGCCTACCAACTATTTTTGTTGTAAGCTGGGAGCAAAGACCACTTTGATGTTTAGAGTGCTTATTGGCTTGTCATTGGATCTCACAAGGCTAAAGTTTCAAGACTTGTTGAATGGGTTCATTCAAAAATGTGCTGTCTGTCCTGGGAATGAGAATTCTGTATCCAAAGTGCTTGTTGTTCCTAAGAAGCAAATAGATAATTTTTGTAAAGCCTATGGCTATTGAGGCATACTTGAGGCAAATAATAAACTATGCACATTCACTCTCAAGGGACCACCTAAGAAAAAGGAAATTGGTACATGAAAAAAAGAAAAATTAGAAGGGGTAAGGACAAAGAAATATGGCCCTGTATGGAGCAATGAGTCATCACCACCACCAGTGGAACTCAGTTCCCTCCACAGGCTGTGGAGACAGATCCCACTGAGGAAGTGTAGGGCACAGAATGGGTGAAATGAAAGAAATTTGTATCTCACATCTCTGGAGGCTGGGAAGTCCAAAATCAAGGTGCCAACAGATTTAGTGTCATGTGATAACCAGCTTTCTAGTTCACAGCCAGGGCCGCCGTGATGTGTCCTCACATGGTGGAAGAGACAAGGCAGCTCTCTGGGGCTTCTTTTATAAGGGCACTAATCGCATTTATGAGGGCACTACACTCATGACTTAATCATCTCCCAAAGGCCCCACCTCCTAATACCATCATGTTGGGAGTTAGGATTTCAACATATGAATTTGGAGGGACACATACATTCAGTCTATAATGTGCATGTGTGCACGTGTGCATGCACACATGAAGATGATAAATACAGAGATCAGGATAGAGGTTTTCTCTGGGCAGGAGGGAGGTGGGATCAGGGAGAGGCACGTGGGGCTCTGAGAGTGCAGGTAATGCTCTGTGACTTGGCATGCGTGGTGAGTACGTGGTTTTTCATTTTACTATACTTTATACTTCATATATAGGCTAAATATATTCTTTGGATATATAACGTATTTTAGAACAAAAAATAACGTTAAAAATAGATCCATCAGGAAGTTCTAAGTGAGGCTATGCTACCAGCACTTCGAAGAAGAAAGAGGATTTTTTTGTTTTTGTTTTTATTGTTTCATTCTTAACGCTTTTCTTCCACAGTTCATGGGGGTAATTTTCATCAAATCATTCCTCACTTCTACTTTGACTAAAAGGCTGAAATTGCTGCAACTCCGTGTAGGTGATTATCAGCTAAGTAGGCAGATCATCTCCCTGCCTCCCACCCTGTCCTCTCCTTGTTCATCTCAGATGTTGCTGTGGTGGACATGAGTGATGTCTCCAGACAGCCTTCCCTCTTCTACCATCTTGGAGTCCGTGAAAGCTTTGACATGGCCAATAATGTGATCCTGTACCACGACACCGATGCCGACACTGCTCTTTCATTGAAGGTAAAGGGGATTATTCCCCTTGTCCTGAATACTTTGTTATGTGTCCAGCTGAAATGTAATGGTAGCACAGGAGGTTGGGGTAAAACAAGAAAGACCTGTGTATTAGTCCGTTTCTGTTGCTTACAATGAAATACCTAGAACTGGGTAATTTAGAAAGAAAACGAAATTTATTGTTTACAGTTTCTGAGGCTGGGAAGTCCAAAGTCCATCAAGTGGTGACAACAGTGACCCAGAGGTCTCATATTGCAAGATGGTGGAAGCAGAGAGAGACAGTTCATGCACTGTCCTTTTAAAGCCCTCAGAACCACGCCCCTGACTGCCATTACTAATTCATTCACTACAGCAGGGATCTAACCACCTCTTCAAGGCCCCACCTTTCAATTACCATAATAGGATTCCCACCCTCAACAGTTACAGTGGGGATTAAGCTTCAATGAGGTTGGGGGGGAGGGGGCATTCAGTCTACAGCAACCTGCTTGTGCACTTCCTTCCTTCCCCCCAGGGGTTCTAGCTCATACAGATGACTTCCTGGCCACTGTGTGAGCATCCTTGCTACAGTCATGCATTTGCAGGCAACTGGAGTATTTCCAGGCTCATCAGGGAAACAAAGGCAGAAACTCCTGTTAGTTTCCATTGAAGCAAACACTCTATTCTGAATCCCTTCATGGGCAATTTGATCCAAAACTGCACATTATAAAAATCAGTTCTCAATTTGAGTAAGAATATGGAGACATTTAAGTTACCAAAATGGGCAGAAAATTTTAGCAGAGGCATATCAGTATTTAATCTGTTATTTTCTCCCAGTCTGAAAGCAAAGCAAAACTAAAAATTTGTGTGTTCCTGCACAACTCCGTAATTATAGAGAATTCCTAAAATGTACTTTTAAAATGCTTATATTTGTAAAATTTGTGAATGTTTAAAGTGAGTATTCCAAAATTCAGCTAATATTAATATTGCTGAATTTCTTAGTATCAGTCAGAAACTCATGGTCTATATTAAATCATTTTAGGAATAATAGACTAATTTGTTTCCAGCAGTGCTTCTCAACCTTGACTGCACTTTAGAATCACCTGGAGAGCTTGTCAATATCCTTATACCCAAGCCACACCCCAGACCAATTACATCACAATCTCTGGGGTCAAGGCCAGGGCATGGGGATTTTTTAGACCTCCTAAAGGTGTCAGAACCTGTGGTTTAGAGAGCTGACCTTCACAGACATCATTTCTAAATGTCCAGCTCCTTCAGTATTAAAAATCGCTAGCATATAATAGTATAATTTTATGCCACAGTTGGACATTTTTGTTTGTGTTATTGAGATTTAATATTAACCAGATTTTCTGGGTTCCGTAATTATTTGAGATTATTTCCTGGTAGAAATACCGCCTGTTTCAGATGTGTATCTTGTATGTGTTAAAAATCACATACACTTTACATAGATGTGTACTCCGTAATTATAGCACAGTGCTGTACTTTAAGAAGTCATTCATATAAAAGTGAAAGAAGAAACTGTTTTATTACTGCACCTTACATTGTATAATAGTTTCCCTGTGGCTATAAATCAATGTAAATTTCTTTGCATATTTAGATATTGACTTTTTCTTTTACTGATTTTCACTAAGATGAAATGCTTAGAAATATTTAGAATTCAGAAAATATGAAAGTGTAGATTATTAAGCTATATTTTGGTGACAAACATGAAATTAGAATGTACTTTTTTTTCCAATTCAATACATATTTTCCCTCAACTGTGCCTTAGCAAAGCCTTCTGGAAAGTCCTATGACCTAGATAAGTTTTAATTTTTAATGAAACATGAAATTATTTCCTAAAGCAGAAATGGGTAGTTGGTTATATCTAACACTAGAACAAGCAGTCTGCATTTGTTATTAAAAAATAGAAATCTCAGACTACACTGAACATGTTTTACAAGGCAGCTGTTTAATTATGTTTTCTTTTTTCAGAAATGGGGGTTTTCAGTGCATAAATGATACAGTCAAGGGCTGCATAATGATCATGCTGAATTAACTGACTGAAAATGTTGTTGCTGAATTTAAACATTCCTAGACAGTTCTAGTGAGATGTCAGGGATCCCACCAGCAACCGACTGTGGCATGGCCAGCAGCCTTCATGTTTATCTGTTCAAGAGATGGTTCCAGACCCAACGCTGGCATAGTGCTTCCTTGCTGTCACTGACCTTCTCTTCTAGGAAGGTGAGATGCGGGACACTGAACACCCCAGACTTAAGTCCCCAAATATCTTTTGGGCAAAAGCATTGGCAATGCTCTGGAAAAATCCTTATAAGTACAAATGGCCCCCAGTAGTTCCAAAGCTAACCACTTATCGTCAGTTTTCCTTGAAATGTGAATTTTACAGTTCTCAGAGTTTCACTCTTTTCGAAGTTTTTGGGTGGAGGGAGGTTTCAAATGGTTAATTCTTGCCCTGGGGTGGGTGCTGGATGACGGGGGTGGAGAGTGCTGGCTAATGCTTATGGAAATGAATGGTCTTGAAAAAAAGCTATATTCATCTTTTCTTTTTCTTTTCAGGATATGGTAACTCAAAAAAACACAGTAAGTATTACAGTTTCAGATTTTTAGTGTCATGGTTGTAAATTCGTAAAATGCTTGCCTGAAAATCGCACAGGCAGCAAGGTGACTTCCGATGGTGCCTGTTGGTTGTGTTTCCAAGGAGGGGACAGTAAGGGCAGCTGGAAACCCCCATCCCTCAACCCACCAGCTAGCTCAGGCCCACTCAGCGGCTGAGGGTGTGGGGCAGAAGGGCAGGTCAGGCACGTGTATGTTCTTCATTACTCACTAGGGCTTTGAGCTTGGAAGTGTCTGGGTGTCTCCTTCTGCACTGGGTTGGTGTTCCTGGGGACCACCAAGAGTCTTTTTGCTGGAGCCAGTACCTCCCATACTTCCCCACCAAAGCTTCCCTAATGATGCAGAAATGTGAACTTGTACTCTAGTTAATATGTGGGTCTCACCTGAAGTTCCTTCCCACAAGCTGAATAGAAGTAGGATGGAATTCCACCCCTTCTGTCACATTTAGGTCCTGAAGCCTCCTGATTTGGCTTTAAAAGTTCCTGCAGGGCCGGCCCGGTGGCACACTGCTACAGTGCGCCGCTTGGGAAGTGCGGCGGCGCTCCCGCCGAGGGTTCGGATCCCACATGCAGACCGGCCGCTCACTGGCTGAGCGAGGAGCGGGGGCAACACCGAGGGTTGCGATCCCGTTGCCGGTCCCGGTCCAGTACAGGTGCGACACTGAGGGTTGCGATCCGTTGCCGGTCACAAAAAAAGACAAAAAGACAAAAAAAAAAAAAAAAAGTTCCTGCAATTACCTACTTTTATTGTTATATTGGTTTGAACAGTCTAATGAAACCACCACCCTAAAAACATTTAAACAAGAGCATGTCCTCAGAAATTGTGCCAAAGTTATCCTGTACCTTTGAGTGCACCCCAAGCTGCCCATACCCCCAGACCCATGGCAGTGTAGTTTGAGAAACCATGACCTAGACTTAGGACAGGCCCTTGGTCTTTGTCCTTTGGGCCTCAGACTCCTTCCCCCTGACCCTTCTAGAAGGGAAGGACCTCCACCCTCTTTTCCTGTTCCAACTGGAGTTCCTAGAGGGAGAGGGAAAAGAGGGCCCAGAGGCTCAGCTCTCCCCAGCGGGCTCTGCAGGGGAGCAGGAGCTTTGCATGACTTTGCCCCTCTGCGGAAGGCCCACCCTGCAGCTGTGGGGCTCAGGCTTCCCCAGGCCCTCCACAGCGGTCCCTACCTGAGGTGGAAGGCTTCCCCCTCCTCTTCCAGCCAAAGGATGAAGTTCTAGAAACACGGCAAATGAGGTAGTTTATGTGATTACCATTGGAGCATGGATTTAACATGGAGGCCTGTAAAACAAGGCATGAGGGTGGCTTCAAGTTCCTCTGAGGAAAAAAAATGGGACGATGTGGTGTGGCTTTGTGTTGTTCCATTTATGTCCTGATGTTGTCCACATATGGGATCTTTCTGGATCTTGATTTTTTTAGTCACCTCCTTCATGGAGAAATAGGGGAGCAGTCAAAGGAGTTTGGGCCTGAGGCCCAGGAGGCACAGGTTGTAGTTGCGGTCCTGTCTCTACCACTGAACAGTCATTCCGCTCCTCCTAGCCCTCAGAATCCTCATTAGTAGAATGAGAAATGTTGAACTCTGTCATTTTGTTCATAGATACCTTCCAGTCCTCAATCTCTGTGGTTCCATATTTGTTGCACATGCAAAAAGATGTAACTTGGATTTAATGCTGGAAATGTCTATGAAACACTTATTCCTTAAAACAAGAGTTACGTTAAGGCAAGAAGTAAGGGAGAAAACTTGTTTTCTTTTCCCATTCCTGACTGTTGGAGACTTAGTGTCATTCTGTTATAATTCCACTACATAGCCACCCTTCTGGTATATTCTCCCTCCTCCTAAACACCTAGGAATTTCTAAACATTCTTAGTAATTCTAAGCATACCTTGGCATCCTTCTTCCTAGATAGCTTGTTTGTTTGTTTGCTTAGGAATAAACTTATTCTAAAGGATTTGGCAACTAAACTCTCCATTGTATCTGGCATGATGTTAGAATTCAGTGCCCAGTATTGGTTGTCATGCTTGGCAAGGTGTGAAAATTTAGAGCTTTCAGAGAAATTAAGAAAAAAAAAAAAAAAAAAAACATGAAGTGACTTGAAGAGTAGGAAACAGCGCCTAAGAGAAAAGGCTGAAGGGAAATAAACCTTGAGAGGTACACCACTAATAGTTATTTTAAATGTCTTTAAATGTTATCCTCTCTCTGAAAATAAGGAGTTACTTCTCCACTCCAGATGGGATGGAAGCAGGGCAAACAGAAAAATGGTTTGGATCAGCAGAATGGACATGTTGCATCTACTGGTGATTAAACATTAAAATAGATGGTCAAAGCAAATTGGGTGACTTTTAAGGAGAGCTTGCTCAGTTGTCCCCTACATGTAGATTGGGGTAACACTGGAATCAGAGGCCTGGATTGTAAGACCCCAGAGGTTCCAAAAGCAAATCTGATGGAATTGTGGGTTTGTGGTCATTTTGGAAAGACTTTTTTAAAAAACACACAACATAGTCACAATTAGTGAACTGTTAATTCCTGTAGGTCAGGGATACAGATGCCATACCCAGAACACGCAGCCAGATGTTTGAAGTGATTTATGAATATGTGAAAATCAAGATGCTTTGAGATCTCTGTCTTCAGGGAGTCATTTGGTATTTCTAGAATTGTGCCTGGTGTCATATTGAATTCAGCTTCATTTGGCAGAGGAGTGGATACATTGTCTCCATTTCTAGGAGCAGTCAATTTGCAGGGATGTAAGGAAAGGGAAACCAATCTCTGAGCTTCAGGCTGGACCATCCACAACCATTCTGGGCTCCTTTGCTCTTTGAAAACAACATGGTATCACCTTTTGCACTCACCTCTTTTTCAGATGATGCTCATTTGTTTTGTTTTTAAAAAGCTGACCCTCAAATTCATATGGAACTGCAAGGGGCCCCAAGGTCACAGAATATCACTCCTATGTTTTCTTTCAAAAGTTTTATAGTTTTAGCTCTTACATTTAGGTCTCCATTCCATTTTGAGTTAATTTGTGTCTGGTGTGAGGTAGAGATCCACCAACTTCATTCTTCTGCATGTGGATATCCAGTTGTCCCGGCACCATTTGTAGAAAAGACTATCTTTTCCCCATCGAATTGTCTTGGCACAATTGTCAAAATCAATTGAGGGCTGACCAGTTAGCTCAGTTAGTTAGAGCATGGTGCTAATAACACCAAGATTCAGGGTTTGATCCCTGTATGGCCAGCTACCAAAACAAACAAACCAATTCACAAAAAAACCCCCACAATTGACTATATATGTAAGGGTTTATTTCTGGACTCTCAATTCTATTCCATTGATCTGTATGTCTATCCTTATGCCAGTATCACATTGTTTTGATTACTGTAGCTTTGTAGTAGTTTTTGAAATTGGGAAGTCTGAGTCCTCCTCCCTTCCAGCTCCATATGAATTTGAGGGTCAGCTTTTCCATTTCTGAAAAAAAAAAAAAAAAAAAAAAGCAATTGGAATATTGATAGAGATTTCACTGTATCTGTAGATTGCTTGAGGAGTGTTGCCATTTTAACAATATTAAGTCTTCCAATCCATGAACAGGGGATGGCTTTCTATTTATTTAAGTTGTCTTTAATTTCTTTCAGCAATGTCTTGTAGTTCTCAGTGTACAAGTCTTTCACCTCTTGGTTAAACTTACTCCTGGGTATTTTATTCTTTTAGATGCCCTTGTAAATGGAATTGTTTTTTTTTTTTTTGTCTTTTGTCTTTTTTCCGTGTCTGGCAACGGATCGCAACCCTCAGTGTTGCCCCCGTACCGGACCGGGGACCAGCAACGGGATTGCAACCCTCGGTGTTGCTCCCACGCCTCGCTCAGCCAGTGAGCGGGAACCGGTCTGTATGTGGGATCCGAACCCTTGGGCGGGAGCGCCGCCGCGCTTCCCAAGCGGCGCACTATCCAGTGCGCCACCAGGCCGGCCCTGGAATTGTTTTTTTAATTTCCTTTTCAGGATTGATTTTTTAAAAAATACCTTTCACAAAAATATTTTTATTTTTACTTTTATTTTTGAAACATAATCGATTATACATATTTGTGATGTATCAATACCTGTGCACAATACATGATGTTCAAATCAAGATAATTAGTATATTCATCTTTACAAAACATAATCATTCTTTGTGACCCTTAACCACACTCTTGCTAACTCCCCTCCCACTTTCCTACCTCTAATAACCGCAGTTCTGTTCTCTCCTTCTGAAAGTTCAATGTATTGTTATGATTGCTGTTTCTTTCATTCTTTCTTTACTTCAGAATTCAGAGTTTGATTGAGTTAGAAATGTGGTTCAGTTTAAGTCAGGGTTCCATAGAAATGACTTCTTGCTTCCTGTATTATTTTCATCCATTTAATTCTTATGTTATTTTCTTCTGTTTTAGAGATAATGAAGATAGCCACTTTCAGCATTTTATCTTTTCAGAAAACATGTTTATATGATGACAGATCAAAGTTGTGCCTTTATGAAAGCAAAAGAGTGAAAATGCAGCCAACCCCAAGGATACTTTATGTATTAAACTTTGGAACTTCCTGGTAGTTTGTGACTAGTGTACATAGTTAATAGATATTCTGGAACTTCATTTTAAATTTTCCTTCGCAAGAACAACCATGCCTTCAAGCTTATGACACATTTTGCAGATTGATTTCTCCTAGAAGCAGACTCTGAGACTGAGTTTAGGATATGGTAGGTTTATTACGAGGTGCCCTTGAGATTGTTCCTGAGGACAGGGAGGGAATGGGACAGGGCTGGACAGAAGGAGAAATGGAGCTGGGGTGCAGGCTCAGTGACAGCCTTGGCCAACCCAACGGGGAACTCTGGAGCCAGAATAGTCTTTCTGAGTTGTCCTGAGTTGGGATGAGATGGCCAGGCTTTTATACTTCTGCATCCATCCATCACTGGAAGGAGGATAACCTTGGATGGGGTGCTCTCTGCA